GAATCTGAGTTCTTTACTTTAACACCACATTTACACAATTTAATACCTTTACGCAGCAAGTTTCATAATGGATAAAATAGATTTCTATCAACTATTGATATGACTGTATACCAATCAAACTTATTCCCTCAAATGGAGCTGGTAGTGGAACGCAAAACCATTTCAAAAGGCTTAACATTAGACAATGAATCTCCTCAGATAATGCTGTTGAAGCACAACACAGATGTTTGGAATGCTCTGCTGAAAACGTAACAAAAATTGAGGTGTTCCCCAAAATAAACAAATGAGTAATGTACAACTTTTTGATGTTAGTAAAAGGACTCTCAGGCTTAAAATGGGGAATCTGTAGGCATTTTACACATCTTACACCCCAATATTATGATTATTAACACCGTGCAGAATGCCACGTCTTTCACATAATTAAAACAACAACAATAAACCTTAAACTGTGCAAAACAAGACTGGCGGCCGCTAGGAGAAACCTGGTCGGTATATTTAAATTCTTTAACAGAAACTCCCAAGGTCTACGAAGATAGAAAAAGTACTGGTAGGTAGTTTTTATGCAAAGTCTCTAATTAGTTGCTTCATTCCAACACTGACTGCTACACACTGCAACTTGGATGTTAAAAGGGTTGATTTCACCATTAGAATGAGAATAAAATGCGTCTTTGCAGGCATGGGGGAAGTGAATAATGTGCCCAAAAAGCTCCTAGCCAGCGATTTTATTCAAGGAAATCGTTCCTGGTTAAATTTAATTATATTGCCACACTTTGAAAGGAGGGCTAACCCTGTCATGAATAATTTCTTGAAATATAAAAACTAGAAATCTCAGTATCCTACAGCTTCATCCCTTCAGCTCTGAAGCAGTTCCACACTGTTGCTCCATAATTACAAGCAGACAACTGAGAAAACGGCCATTAATATTATCAGACTTCTCCGAGGTTCTCACTATTACTGCGACAGAAACAAACAGCTGATCATTGTGAAGTCAAGCACCCATTGTGTCATTAATCCTTAATATAAATCTGAGCGGTCACACAGGGCTGGGCACTGCGTAATCACTCTCGCTTCGCTTATTCACCAGAAACTGAAAAGACAAAAAAAAAAAAAAAAAAACAGTGGCAGCCCAACAATATAACACACCAACAATCTGATATTTTTTCTGGACTATAAAACTACTGGTCTCATCCAGATTAAGCACACTCCCCACATCCCCAACCTCACACACTGACTCAGCGATCACCGCCTGTAAAATTTCTGATTCTGGAGCAGAAACCTAAGAGTGATCATAGAGATATCCAGGAGTAAAGGTAGAGAGAAAGGGCTGGGCAGATAGATGTGCATGCCTGACCTGCATGCCAAGTAGCCATCTTTGTGCCCACCCACCTCCCTCACCAACACTTCACCTTGCCTCCAACACACACATGTGCTCTCGCACATGCCGAGCTTCCCTTTTTTTCTTTATTTTTTGCTTACACACGTGCACGCAAGCATTTCTGCAATCAACTTCATACAAATCACTGCGGCAGCTCTGACACACCTGACCCTCACCTGCCTGGCATGGAAGGAAACGGGACCCCTCCCCTGAAAACAGGCAGATTACTCTCAGCACCAGGAGGAGATGTAGTGTGTGCTCACTGGTCAAGCTTCGGCTCAAAATGAAAGGAGGAGGCAGGTAAACATTCACGTCTATCATGCAGCAACACATCCGTCACAGAGAGCCTGGTTGAAAGCCTCGCCTGAAGGATGGAAGGAGGAGGTTAGAGAGTTACCGTTTGCACTTAGTGACTCTGCATCTTCACGCTCCACATGCCTCCCTCTTCTTCCTCCCCTCTCTCCATTTCCTTTTTTTCCCCCCTTCTTCTTCTCCACTGCGGCTCAGTGTATTCCCGCGCCCAGAGGATCTGCCAGTCCCCCCTCGCTTATTCCGGTAGTAGCGCCTAAGAGGCACTGAGCATGTCTCCCGACCCCTCCTCCTCCCGTCCGTCCGTCACTCTCTATCTCCCCTCTGTCCCTAAAAGAAACGATGAAGAAGCCCTTTCCTCCTCCTCCTCCTCCTCTGCCTCCAATTCCTCTCTCCTTTGCAGTGGCTTCCTCACTCTTGGTACAGCATGTTCGTTGCCAGCCATATGATATCACACGGTGTCCTTATATGGGAAGCAGGGGGTTGCCATGACAACAGCAGACTCCACCTGTTTTCACCTCTTTATTTTAAAACAGACAAATAGTGTATGTCGGATGCGCAGAGGTTGCACGGGGGGAACGCTCGGAGTGGGTGGAGAGAAAGAGATGAGATGGAGAAATGACAGAAGGCGCAGAACTAAATATATTTCATAGTCGTTTCTTTAATGCAAAAGCAGAATAAAAGAACCCAACAGAAAAGATGCAATTCCCTCAAAATGGTCTTGAGACATTGTTTAAGAGGAAAAAGTTGAGGAAATTAAAGTATATCCAATTGGATGTGAAAAATTATTCACTTTGGGGGATTCAAAGAAATTGTCAGAATTAGAAAAAAAGATTGTTGAAGAGAGCTTTTTTTTATTTTAACATTTTGCAACTGTAAGTTGAGGGTAGGATACCTCAACAATTTCTAGGTTATTAGAGAATAAAGTGTCAGCTTTCTAATCCTAAAGAAAATGCATTTCTGACAACGAGCCAATAGGTCTGGCGTTATCAGCAATTCTTAAACATCTATAATGATTAACTGACCAACCGCCATCTTGGGGTCAACAAGTTTCCATAACAACGACAAGACCATTTATAAATCAACTGACTAGGAGTAATGAGTTGGGGAAAAAAAAAGCATTTTCTGCTCTGCCATCAAAGAGGTAAACTTGCTACGGGGACTGTAACTGGAAAACTGTGATTTCAAAATGTGAGACAATTCATGGACCAGTAACCAAAACTTTACTTTTAAATGTCTAAAACGTCCCATCAAACTTTGCACAATCACTTCCAACATCTGTAGTGGAACAAAAAAAAGAAAAAAAAAAAAACTAAGCAGTCTAAAATGTTATGAGTCTTTCATTTATTGAGATAAATTTTAAAAAAAGCAAGAAATTAATGACCTTGTAATTTTTTTAACTTGAATTTACATTGGAAAAAGTTAGACTACCATTGATCTAGACTGTGCAAAGAGGAGCAGAAAAAATATCCATCTCCATTAATCTTGTGAAGTGTTACATAACCAAAAGTACTGCAACTTTGTTTTTGAACTAAATGAAAAAGCCTGTTGTGTCAGTCATCCAGGTTACAGCCCAAAGCCGTACCCACCACATATTTAACAAGGAGGCAACGACTGTCAGAAACTGTTTATCGTCTATAGATTGTACACTGTGTCAATAAAAAAATAAAAAATACAGGAACAATGTTCAGGGGGTTAAGTTTGTATCTATGGAAAGAAATGGGCCCATTTTCCTGAAATAACTGCTGAAGAGTCCTTTAAGGCAAACATAAAACAGCTGAGTCAGGCAGTTCTGCTTGAGATATAAAGTCAGAGCAGCTGATGATTGACGGCTCAAGAGTAAAAGATGCCAAGAGAATAAAGATGTGAAAGGGCAGAGAATTTAATTTCACCTCAAGACGTTTTCTCTCCACATCTCTGGGATCTGTTTCCCCTTCTTTTTTATTGCTCGGTCTCTCTGATAATAAACAAAAAGAACGGCCATCAGTGACCCTTCCAGCAGGTCATAAAGGTGCTATGGTCTCCGTCTCAAGGCCCACAGGCATCTCACCAGTTAATACGCTCATGTAAGTACCCAAGACCCACTGATGTGCTGCCATCTTCTCTCGGGGAGCAGAAGTAAATGTCCACATGTAGAAACAGAAGGCACTCAGAAAGAGCTCAATTCCCCCTTAAGGTGACACTATGACGTTCCGCTTAAGATGGTGGAACATGAAACTGCATCAGAGTACACACACAGGAACCTTAACGTTTTTTTCCTTTTGAGTTTAAGCAGATACTGAAAACATAACAGGATCGTGCGACCGGCAGTGAACAATAATCTATCCAAAACCTAAGAGTCCTTGACATAAAGATGGAAGAAGCAACTGTTTTGTTTTCATTCATATTGCATCACCAGAGTAACAAACTAAAAAGAGTAAATTGATAAGGCTTCGAAGAAACTGTAGAAACTGAGCGAGGAATAGGGGGAACTTATTTAAAGGTGTGTTGGTATTGAGGCAAAGCAAGTATTGTTAACAGGCTCCCTTCAGCTCTGCTTCTGCTCCTTGTTTATTGTGCATGTGTGCTTTTACCCTCCCTGCAAAGTTGGTGGTTTCATTTGTATTGTTCAGTTGATAGCCCAAAGTTGGCTCCCTAAAGTCCCCCTTCCAAACAGCAGGCTTCTCACCAGAACATAGCTAGAAGTCCTTAAGGAAAATCCAATCACAAAATAAACTGTTTGGACTTTTTAAGGCACTCCAAAACAACTTCCCACCACTTTTCCAAAGACGATACCTGTATTTTGGGTACATTTTATGCAGGGTTCCTATGCGTTCTGAATTGCAAAATTTAACTTTCTAGACGTAAATTTGTTGTCACTTTTTAAAACGTTGTAGAAATATGGTTACAAAACACTTGGTCTGATATTATATTCTACATGATTCAGAGTTAATGAATTAACATCATGCTGAGCTTAACATCTAATTAAAGGTTTCAGTAAAGCGAGTTGCTAGTTTTTGTTTTTTTAGGGGTTTTTGTCAGGAGGATGGAGTGGCATATTGAGTTCTTAACTCCCCAAAAATCCTTTGCAACTTCTCAAATGGCTACATAAATCCAAAATAAACACAGCTTCTTTAAAGCGCTGTGAGGTTTTGTGTCATTACACCTAGTTAGACCCAATGGTACAACTATAAGTCCACTTATTTCAAGATAAAGCAGCCACAGAATTATCCTTTGAAAAACTTTGCTACACAATCAGGATTTACCAAGAAAATATTCATGGCTCAGTCCCAGAAACATTGATTTCCTAATTATTTTTGCGGGTTTGTGAAGATACCTGTCGGCCAGCAGCAGCGGAGCCTTGTGACAAGCTGCCCGGACTGTTTGTGTACTTGTTCTTCTGGAGGTCCATCAGGGCGTCTCGCTGCCGTTCGATGTCCGCCTTGTGCATGCTGTTCAGGGCCTCCAAGCTCTTAGCAGCCACAGAGTTGTGCCGGCGGTCCAGCGAGGAAGACGTGAACCCCCCATTGCTGTTGTCCTGGAAGCGCCGTGCCCCACGGCCGCCCCTGGCAGCCAGGGTGTGGTAATCTCGTGGGAACTCGGCATCACCTGCAGAGATCATGGAATCCTTTCTCTTCTCTCGACCTGCAGACGGGGAGAAATTCGAAAACACAGAAAGGAAGGTTTATGAAGTGAAGCTATTCGCCGTCATTTGAGGTTGAGGCTGATAAACTGCAATTACTTTAAATAAAATTTAACTTAAATTCACAGATCATTTCCAGTCTTTCAGCTTTACTGAACTAAGAAAAAAATGTTTCAGGAAAGAAGTCGGATGTAAGCTGATAGATATGTAGTGCAGATCATAAATTTACATAAACTGATCACAGGCATGAATGTCATTAATGACAGTGATTAATGATAGGAAAGAACCCCTGCTAATGTCCGTTCAATCATTCTAACAAGTTACATTTCAACTTGACATTTTTTGTAGCCATCAGCAAGCTTCTGGCATAATTCTGACTAATTGATCAATCTCCATGGCAAGTTTATTTAAATTAGTCCATTTCTTGGAATGGAGTCCGCTGTGAGGCATATTCAACACATTTTCAAATCGGGTCCAGGTCAGAGACATTCAAAAACTTGATGGCTTTGCAAAAACCTTTTCTGACATACACCTGGGATCATTGTTCAGTTGGAAAACTAAATTTGATTCAAGTTCTAATTATGCGACTTAAACTTCTCCCTCTGTTCAAACAAACTCAGGATGTTCATCAGCTGGCAGTAGCTCTCCGCCCACATTGGGTTAATTTAACATCATCATGCTCAAGAAGCTGCAAGTGGCATTAATGCATTGAAGGAAGTGGATGAAATAAGAGGACTGCTTCCAACTTCTTGAGCATCTCCTAAACCAGCTGTTTCAGGCAGTTGGTTTAAATATTTACATATTTAAAAATTACTGAAAGCAATTTTTAAATATGTAAATATAAACAGAACTCAGAAGGGGAAAAAATAGGTTAAATGTGAGTAAATAGTCACAAGCAAAATGGGTTATATTTCTACATCCTAAACCAAAGTGACAAGTGTTATCACTGCAGTAACAGATTGGATGCAATTCTTTACCCAATTAGACCTATAACAAAGAGCTGCTTGTGGTTTAGTGTTTTCCTGAAGAGTTATTGATCCAGGAAGTTGTTCTTTTTATATACTATTTGCACACAAATTGACAACAATCTTTGCTTTGTCTACTCAAAGAACAACACCCTCACTGACACCAGATATCAGAGATTTTATCTAACATTAGCCCTTATGAGGTATATCCAAGACAAAAAGGGAAGGTCACCATTCAATCAGAAAACATAACCTGATTCACAATGATGGTAAATAAAGTAACTTTAACTTAAGCTACTTAATGGTGCAAAACTGTTCTAAATAGTTCAAATGGAAGAAAAAAAATAACCTCCCATTAATCCTTAACTGTTTTTCCCTCAATTTGTATGTGTCAATTTATTATTTGTCTTACAACTATCAGTATAAATTTTTTATCTCGTCAGTCTAGGATTGATAAAAGATGCTCACCAAACATGCATTGTGTCTGGTTTACAGTCATCACAATAGCTAACCATATTGTGATTTGGTGCACCAAGTCTTTTGTTTTCATCAATTAGTTAAAGCTAAGCTTGAAAAAATATTTTAGCAGAAACAAATGAGTCCCATTTTGCAAAAAAATGTTTAAAAAATCAAATAAAAGAAAAACTGAGCATAGATCTGTTGTGGGTTCAAAACAGACACGTGGAAGTGAGGAACTACACCTCTGGCATTTTGGCGGCGCGTGAAAATGAGGAGAACATCTGTCTGTTTTTACAACTGTAACTGTCCAGGGAACCCCAAGGCGAGACGAAACAGTCATGCAGTAAAATCTCCTATTATATGTGAACAGTCTCATGTGTGACGCTCAATGAGAAGTGACAGAAATGGGAATGTCTGTCTCCAGGGGTAATGAAGTTTAGTGCCCTCTTGTGACCAATTACACACAAAGCACCTCTCGCTTGAGGACACTGATCAGTTACAGTACATTTGCAATTTTCATGAGTTAAATTAAACCAAAAATATGATTAAATAGGACAGGAGTCGACATTTAGTAGGAATGTCACAGGACAACATTCTACTGCAGAATGTTATGCAGAATGTACTGTGCAGGAAACATTTTACAACACATACACTCACACCTATAAGGTCATAGAAGCAGATTTGTGCATTAATAATGCTTGAAAGATGGTTTTAATGCAATAGATATTATTTGGTGATTGCATTATTTCCTCAACGATAGTCCATGTTCATATCTATAAAAGTAAAAGTATTTCATCCCTTCAGATTCCAAGTCTTTGTTTCGCTAAAGTGAGAAATAATCTAATTATATTTTTAGCACAACAGAAAGACCTTCAATTGGGATTATTCTTTTGATCCCAATGTCCCAACAGTTCAGCAACAAATCTCAAAAGTAAAAACATGCCTAATTAAATTTCTCTCAGCTGCTTTTGTTTTTGTCACCTAAGCCATTTTCAATAGCTAAAATTATAAATGTTTAGACAAATCAGTAATTCCTTGGCTAAAGTTTTATCAAATGTGCCACAGCATCACTCTTAGGTTAGTTTATTAGAGTAATTATGAGGCTAGGGATTAAAATAAATAAATAAAATCAAGGTGTGGAGTGGAATTTGTTTAAAAAGGACAAAAAAAATCTGCTAAAAGTTTCAAGGAGATTTTACTCTTTCACAGATTTAAACAGCGGTTGAAGATTACCACACAAATGAATTTTAAAGTACAGGAATGGTCCCCTTTTTGCCATTCTGGCCTACATAAACACTGAGTTTAACAAGCTCATATTAGCTGTTTAATTAGTGAGCTTTTATAAGCTCTGGTAAAAAAAATAAAAATAGAAAAAACTGTAGGAGATACTGCAATGTGTCAAACCAATCACCAACATCTAGATGCCCCATAAGTGGAAATAAAGGGCAAAGTGCATCCAACTGGCCATTTATGTTATAATCATCTTGAAAAACAGTAGCCTAACAAACCATTAGGTTCTTTCCCATCAACCATTTGGGAATTAATCACAGCAAAAAACATGGACAGTCATGGCGTGGAAACTGGGAAGCACAATCACTCTTTGAAAGGCAAATAATTAAAAACTACATCCGTGAGAAGCAGGTCAATAAAGCAGCTGACTGCAGGCTGGCTAGTCTGGTAAATGGCTCCACTAATTAATGAGCTAATAGCTTTTTATTCATGTGTCAGAACAGCAAGGTATAATCTTGTTATACTGCCAGTTCAATGTTAAATTTAGTGTTAGTAGTTCTACTTCAGTGTACAAATCCAAATAAATACCATAAATCAAAACTAACCAATTATTTGTGGTAAGTCGAATCTGATTTTAATTTGAAATGTGTGTAAAATCCTATAAAAACATGGCACTTCTAGACTATGTTAAACTCATGATGGCATTCTGGCCCATGCCTTTATTTCCCAGCCATATGATTTAAGACTCAATTCACGGCTCAACAAACTAATAGACAATACTTCTGAAACGATGACACTGAACTGACTGGTTTCAGCATTTAAAAATCTTTAAACTCTGGGACATCTCAGTCTTTTCTCACATTATACTGAAAGTAGTAGTATTTATGTTGGCTGGTTGGCTTCATATCATGTTAAAGCGCTTCTCCAAGGAGCAATATGGAAAAGGCCAGCAGAAGCAGGATAATATTTCTACAGAAATCCTTTACATATTGAATTATTAGAGTTTTCTGCTGGGGTATTGATCGTCTTGCTGCATGAAGAACAGCAAATTGCTCCATCAATATTTTGTCTCATGCAAGCTTGTGTTTTTGGACTGTTTTAGTAAATCTCAAAGGCATTACTGAATAGCTTTGCAAGCATTCAGGAAATGTTGAATAACTGTGTGTGGACCAGTTATTGATGAAGTTTGTCTCACCAGTCTCAATACAACTTTACTATAGTGTTGTCTTCTCAAAAAACCTAGTTGAGACTTCATAACTGCCTAGACTATTTAAACTGGCAGACTAAACTGGTTGTGTTATTAGTGCACTAAAGTCAGTCTGATTATTTTTCCTGAATTCATTGGACTTGGTTCATAATATTTAAGTGGTGGACTATGAACATGAATTAGTTCTTTTGAAGGTCTGATTTACAAGTTAATAATTATATTGGATAACTAATCTCTAACCAAGTCACATTCTGGTTTTAAAGAAAATGAGCAGATCTGCATCAAAATCAAATTGGAATTAAATTTCTTCAGCAAATGTTTTATATGGGTTTAGCTCATAATTTTACACATCTACACACACACAAATAAGCAGGTAAAAAAAATTAAAGTTACTTCAAAGTCCTGTGACTAAAACTAAATTGACTTAATCCAATTAGGGATTGTCTAATGGATTTTCACCCACATTAGGAAAATTTCCAGACAACTTTCTATTAAAGTGAAATTTGGAGGTAAACAAACACATAATGTGCATAATGTGCACTACAAACAAACTGAATTACATGACCTGCAGGGTTTTGACCAACAGTCTCCACACATTATTGATCTCTCCCCCTAAGTGTTCTCCTTTTGCCCGCTGAGCAGCAGAGATCCACTGAAGCAGGACCTTAAAGTTGATTAGCTTGCACTTAGCACATTTTACTGCTCTGTGCTGCACAACAAAACGCCACATCGCTGCATGTTTGACCTTTTTCCATGAGAATATACAAGCCAAAGCATATTTATCAAACATTTAGCCGTCACTGGGAAAGTTCCCCGTGGCATATCTTTCACTTGCCTTGAGCTTGAAATTGCTGCAGTAATTAATAATCATCATTTAAAGTTTCCTGTCTGTGCATTCACCCCGACAACAACGACGTTTGTGGTATTACAAATAGTGTCTCAATCGGTCACAGATGGAAGTTTTCTGATGGCAGCACAGCAGCATGCCAATGTGTATCCATGGTAAGGCTATAAAACCGAAGGGAACTTGCAGAGACTGCAGGAACATCCAGACCGGGCCCTGTCACTATAATTTATGTGAAGCCTTGAGCAAACTTCTTCAGAGTGTGCGTGCGTGCGTGCGTGCGTGCGTGCGAGCTTC